ACACACATCATTGTAAAATCAAAACATTTTGTAACGTAAAAATGTATATGAATGTACGTTCAAGTATTGTTTGATGTTATATGATGTATATTATATACATTTTAATTTTTACCTCAGACAGCTGCAGATGACGTATTATTATTATTATTATTAATATATCTTATTATAATTATATACTTGATATAATAAATGTAATATATTCTGTACTTTTTATAAATATTTTCTGTTTATTTACCTATTATATGCTACAAGATAAAATTTTATCAGGAATGTGAATTTAGTTTATTACATAACAATAAAAAATTCACTCCGTATCATGCAGTAAAAAATATGGACATAATAAATCAACTAAAAACTCCAAAACATGTGAAACAATGTAAAATAAACTTAGGTACCAACCTAGTATAATAAAGATTCAGAATTATAGGTATTATMCATATCTTGAAAGATACCTACTAATGAAATATTAAATTGTTATGTAAAGAAATTTACCTATAAATAGGGTACTGTGAAAAATATAAGATAAGACTTACAAAATAAAAAAAAGAATTTGGTTGAAAGAATTTATGYAAAATAAGCTTTTTATACTAAAATATCATTGAAATTACATGATAATAATAAGGTACACCCAGTGGCCAAATGCCGTCAATTATGCATAAAAACGTTGAAAAAAATATTCATATTATGCATTTATACGCACGCGTTATCTTGAATCCAAAATAATACCTACAGAATAAAATATTATATTAAGAATAGTACCTATATTATTTCTTGAAACAAATTTGTATGATTGTATTTCACTAATTTTGAATTTGTAGATTTATGCAAAATCATTAAAATAAATTTCTTTCATACGTAACTTTAATAATAATCAAACAATTATTAGAATTTTTATACATMAAAATAATGTATAAAAATAAAACTGATCCACGCTGTCTCACATTATAGGACCATATGCCTATTGTACCCATACAAATAAAATGTTCTCGGTCGACTAAAATATTATGTTGTGCAGAAAACTACCCGCCCGACATGACAACGGCTGACAAACGTGTCGCAGTACCACCGTCGTCATCGGCTGGGTCGTTGTCGGACACCGGCTGCACCGAATCTGCGGCGGCTGAAATGAGCCGTAAATATCAAACCGCTTTCCAGTCGTTCTCCATCGAATCTTTGATCGGCGGCGGCACCGAGACGCCTCCGCCCACGGCCGACGCAACCTTATCGTCACCGCCGTACTATTTGGACGCGGCCGCCACGCAACTGCAGCAACGGTCGACGTTGGAACCGACGTCGATGTTTAACTTTGATTATTTAAGCGTGTTGCGATTGCAGTCGGCCGCAGCGGCCGCCGCGGCCGCCGTCGGTAAACCGTTCGCGTCGCGGTCGCTGTGGCCGTACCTGAACGACGCGGTTGCATTTCCCGGAACGCAGCCGCCACCACCGCTATGTTATCAAGATTACAGCCGGTCATTATTGCGCGACGTCGGTAACCAGCCGTCACCGCCGCCGGTTTTCGGATGCGACGACGCGGACTCGGGTGACCATGGAAATCGTGACWTGAACGCCTCCACGTCGGTCGTCGTCGATGGAGGCACGGACGACGGTGGCGAATACGACGACGACTTTGACGGCGGTGCAAGAGACAATGGTGAGGACGTCGACGACGACCAGGACGACGATGACGATGTCGAAGACGATCCGCGGTTCGGTGAGTGTGTTATATTGTAGTTATTGCTTATTATTTATTATAAAAACCACTTTATATTAGGGAAATTACGCGTTAAAATTGCTTAATGGTTATAATATTATGTCAAATTTTAATCATTTCAAAGGTTGGGATTTGGAGCTATACCTTTTTT